CCTGGGCTGTTAATTCTAATGAGAAATAACACATGCATGACTTATGCTCCACTTCTCCTTGTTAAATAATCCAGAAATAGCTCCATGTGACATGAAAACTGGGTCATTGTGTGTAAACATAGCCTGGAATCCCACATAGATCTGTGTTCAAAGAACTTACTCCCAAGTAAGTATTGTTTGAGATTTCAGTATTCATTCTGCATTGCATTGTGGCCTATGTTTTCACAGTGTTTGCAATCTGTTCAACATTATTTTACTCTCAAAACACTCCTGTTGCCCGGTGAATATTGAATCTCAGTCTGAGAAACTTTGGTTCAAGTCATATGTCTGCCATGCTCACTGTAAATACATTCATTGTGAAACATGCTGTAACATGTTTTTCAATATTGAATTAACAGAAGCAAAACCGATCACAACAGACTGCAGCAACAGCATAAGGACTCTTAAAGAATCCAAGTGTGGAAGACAATTCTCAATTAGTAATTTTGCTCATATAAGGAGTTCCAACAATTTTAAGGGGAGGGATAACTACTTCAAAACAGCTATTATGAATGCCAAATTGCTTTAAAAAGGAAGCTTCACTTGCTTAATGAGGAAAACAGGCTTGCAGATCCAGTGAAACACACAGAGGTCATTACCTTCATCACAGTATGATATATAAAAAGCAAGATACTCATGGAACTTCCATGTTAGAACATCCAATTAGTTGTTTAAAAGAATAGGCAAAGCTGGATTTAGTTTTGCTGCCTTCACAAACCAGCTGACTGGAGTAATTCTTGCCTTTTTAAATAGAGAATCATGTCTGTGGCACAGGCCATATGTCTTCCCTTGCATAGGATAGCCCTCTGTTGGAAGGGCTGCCTTGGGAACTTCCAGTTTGTTTGTTTATTTATTTAGGAGACTTCTATGCCGCCCCATTCGCCGAAGCCTCGGGGCGGCTCACAACCATAAATAAACTTCAATAGAATAATATAAATTAACAATATAAATGTTTAATGATGAAGAACCATAAAAAGTTTTGCCTATCTGAACAGCTGACTGAATAGGCAAGCACATACATCACCTGGTAAGTCTTCTGCACTATGATGAGATGTACTGCATTCCTATTTCAATTATTTCTAAATAATTAGAAATTATAATTATAAATCCACACATATATAAGCAGATGCAAATTCTATGCAATTCACTCTCACTATCTTTTCTCCTTGGTAATTTATCTGGCCATTCTATGCTGTAGAAATACACAGATAGCTCTGTAGAGCCAATGGAATAGCCCTGGTCCCTTCTCTTCCTCTGCCTTAACTACTTAAATTAGCCATGTAATGAATATTAGAATCCTATTGCTATAGAATTTGAATGTTGTAACTAGACATACCATCCTCTTTATATATTCCACCCCAGTGCCTTGTAATACAAGCAGTGCAAAATGCAGAACAAATGCATAGCAAAAAGCTGGGGAGTGTAGGAGAGGTTATATGGGATGTACTCTACTTTGGCGGAGCTATTACTTTCTCCTCCAGAATATCCTTGTGACCACTGGGCCATGTAAATATTAGGGATTGGGTAATGCTGCTTCAAGCAGAATTGTCCTTCCATGTTTTGAAACTCACAAGTTGTCTCCTTTTATCAGACATTAGAGATATAAAGCCTGTTCAGGTGTCAGGGAAAGGGTAAAGCCTATTCAGGTGTCAGGGAAAGGGCAACTCATGAAAGTGGTACCACACAAAGTAGCCCTGCTCGCCCCATTACACTGCATGCTCTCCTAGCTTCTGTATATACGGCTTGAACATCTGTAGGACAGCGGACCTTCACATGACCAGGAATACCAATAGTGCCAAACCAGCTCTAGGTTTCACAGTTAAAGCCTTTCCTCCATCTTTTCCAATCTATTTAACAGTCCATTTTTGGAACTGCAACTGGCTTACTCATTTTGGTGGTAATGACCTGCACTGTGAAAAAAGCAGGGCAGAGTAATGGAACACTTGACTTCCTAGTGGCTTTTGTTACCATCGCTCTTACAACCTTTCCACCTAGCCAAGACTGGACAAAGAGGTCTCCTGTTCTGTGCAGTTATGTACATTTATATTCTGAATGCTTTTACAGGGCACCCTTCCCTGACTCTTTAGAAGGTAACATAGAAACAGAGCGAGTCAGAAGGTGCCTCCTGGGCCATCTAGTCTGACCCCCAGCTCCAGCTGGCTCTGCTCATGACATGCCCAGGTAACATGCCTTACTCTGCTTCTGAATAGTGTTAGCCCTCCCTGTTGCATTTGAGGATGCTCTTGATCATTCTGCTGGATGGGGTTTTAGACATTTTCCCCAAGTCTTGCCTTGATGACTTTTTTATTGGGGGGGGGGGGGCTCTGATGGTTTCCAATGGAAAACTCTGATTTTCAGCTTAGCAACAAATATGGATTTATTTGTAAATATGTACTACTGAATTCACTCATATTTACTCTCAATGTGTGCGTAAAATTGAGTCTGTATGCTGAGTTTTGGAGTTCTTGTACTTTTTTCAACAAGCAATACCACATGGCAAATACGAGCTATATATGAGCTATATTTAAATTCTAATGGTTTGCTTAGTTTAATTATTTGATTTTGGATTATTCTTATTTTTAATAAATGGTGACTCATTCATATTTACCCTAAGGCTCAAGATTGTTTCAATAGCAAGACTTGTTCAGTCTATATGTGAAAATAAAGGTTTCTCTGAATTCATCATAATTACCCATTCAGCTTGAGCCTTGGTTATAGGACTATGAATGAATGTTCTACAAAATACATAGAGATAAATGTATTATGCAAAGTTTACTCCTGAAAAAAAATTCAAATTCAGAACTCATGGAAGTTTTTGCAGGATTGATGCCTGGCCTGACATAGCTGTTTTAGACTATTTCTAGTTACTTTAAACATAACTGTTACTATATATCTACCACAGGTCCAACTATGAAATCTCTTTGTAGTCTTTTTTATCCTTTTGATTTCTTTCCAGTGACCTTGGTTTCTCAGGTACAATATCAGCTATGATTTATTTCACAGTAAAAAAAAAAAAATCTGTTCTCAATTTACTTTAATATTGTTCAAAGAGTTTTAGATATTGAAAATAAAAGATTTTCAGGCCAATTTACAAATGTTAAGTCAGAATATTATATTTAAGATTATTTGCTCTACCAGTTTAACTGGACAATACCTACAATTTAATTCAAGATCACAATTTTTATCTGCTTGAAATGAAATATACAAACTGTCTTCACTAGGAAGATCTATCTGGAGGATAAGTGCAAATAAGCTGTTAGGTCGATAAACAGTATCAATAAACACACATTCTCCTCTACAGTTCACAGCTTAGCTTGGAGGGCAGACAAAGTGGAGCTTCTGGGTATGAACATTCTCAATGTCAAGGAAGTGTGTTCATGTAATGAAGAGTTTATCTCGCCCCCCTCATTGTTTTTTCAGAGACAGCAGGTCTTGTCTCACCAGCTCATATATTATCTCCTCTTGCCCATGTCATGCTGGGAGGAGACTGCTACATACTTCTTCATAGTTAAACTAGGCAAGCTGCTAAACTCCAGTTTCTGAGATTTATCCATATAGTGGGCTCCTTGTGAATACAAGGGATCTGCAAGATCTCATTAACTGAACCCAGACACTGCGGTTCTGAAAGCAGAGATCCCACAATGATGGCCTTGAGCTAACAGGATTTGGTGAGTTTCCATGGAAAATGCTTTCCAAAGTAGCAGAACAAACATCAGAAGAAACATCCCTTTCTATTCCTTTTTAGAACAAATTGATATATTGATTCATTCAGATGCTCATAGATGATCTTATGGAATGCAATCTAGACAGAGGGAAGATGACTGAGAGTCCTTCCTGATGAGGCCTTTTGTAAGCCCATCACTGGATCTCATTCCCAGAATTTTGAAAGGAAAGGATGACCTATCTAGTTAAGGTCATCTTTCACTACAACCTTCCTATGTTTTACCACCAATCCTTTTATCCATTTCCTTACTGCAGCAAATCTATTTAGGGAAAAAGATGAAATTGCTGGAAAATGCCTTCTAATTGATAGAGCTAGCAGCTCTCCTTCTGGGAATATCCTCTCTCAGGTATATTGAGATCATTTAGGGGATTTACATGACAAACACCTTGAAAATTTTCATTAGGTTGCTGGGGTCTAAAACACACTGCTTCCATTACTTATGGTGCTTTTGATAATCCCACTCCACTGTGTTCCACTGTGTACTAAGCATTGTTGAAGATAAAATCAGTAAGCATATAGAACGTCAAGTCCTTCTGGAAGAGAATCAACGTGATTTCACAAGTAAGCCCTGTCTTACTACCTTTTAGTGTATATCAATAAATATTTTAAGTGTGTTGATGAACATGTGGACAGAGGTATTCCAGTGGACACTGTTTACTTGACAAAAATCCCTCGCCAAAGACCCCTCACCAAGCTTAATTATCATGGAATGAGAGGTCCATAAAGAAAAATAAATGATGAATTCTCAAAATGGAGGGATGCAAACTGTGGGGATCTGTAAAGATCTGTATTGGGAACAGTACTTTTTGACCTATTCATAAAATCTCTGAAATTGGGAGGGGACCATTTTCTGGTAAAAACAATTTATTTAAGGTGGTCAAAACAATACTGTGAAGAACGTGAAAAGAATCTCTTTAGACTGAGAGAATGTGCATCAAAATGGCAATTTCAGTTCATCATAAGCAAGTATAATGCAAGCGATTTGTTCAGAAAGTAATGAGAATATTTTAAAAATTCTTGTATTAAAATTTTTTACAATTGAACATTGTCTCCTTCAAAGTATGCACCTTGTGAGTGTACACAACACTCCCAGTGATTTTTCCATTTCTCATAGCATCCCTGGAAGTCTTCAAGTGGGATGGTGTTCAGAGCCTGCATAGTAGCTCTTTGGATGTTATCCACACTACCAAAATGGTGGCCTTTCAAACTATTCATCTTTGGGAAGATGAAATATCACAAGAAGCCAAGTCAGGGCTGTAGGGTGGATGGCGAAGCACTATGATGTGTTTTCCAGCCAAAAATTCTCTGACAGCCAAAGAACTGTGACTCAGTGTGTTGTTGTGATGAAGGATTCAAGTTGAACCAATCTCAGGATGCACACAAAAAGTTCTTTGTCTCAAGCAACCAAGAACTTCCAGGTAAAATCACTGACCAGTAGGTACAAATTGCTTATGGATCCTAAAAAAAAATCATTGATTTGACTTTTGATTTGCTTGTTCAAGCTTTCTTGGGGTGAGGTGACGAGGACGTATGCCATTCTGAACTTTGTTTCTTCATCTTGGGATTGTACTCAAACACCCAGGATTCATCTCTTGTGATTACTCGACTCAAAAAATCAGGCTCTCTTTCCAAATGGGCCAACAGGTCTTGGCAAATGAGTTGACGGTGTTCTCATCAGGGGAGAGGTGATTAGGTGACAAGTTCTTTGAAACAAGTGTTGCACACACTTTTCTCATATTCAAATCCTGAGTCACGATTTCATGAACAATTGACTTGCTAATTCTCATTTCTTCTGCAATCATTCTGATAGTGAGCCATTGCTCATGGTTGAAAACAGACCTCACTGCATCCACATTCTGTTCCTTTTTTGACGAAGAGGGATGTCCTGATCATTGTTTGTCTTCAACACCTTCTCGTCCTTCCTTGAAGGCTTTGTGCCATCAGTACACTTGTGCAGATGATAGCACAGACTCTCCATAAGGTTTCCTCATCATTTCCAAAGTTTCTGATGTACTTTTCCCCAATTTCACACAAAATTTTATCACGTACCATTGCTCCAAACTCACTCATTACGAGGCACTTGAACAGTGTGTCACAAAAAAAGAATGTCTCAACTCCGACAAGGCTGGAATGCAACTGATCAGTGTTCTAACGTATATCTGGTATCCCACCCCAAGTGACCTTGGCCAGCTTCTCCCTTCACAGAGCCCTTCTCGAGCATAGGAACTTCATTCTCATGACTTTTGGGGCACATCTTGTATGTGGGGAGACTCTCAATTTCATACACCACATATTAACTGATGGAATCCGAGCTAGTGGTGACTGATCAAGAAGGAGTTCCAAGGGTTGTGGAGGACAGCTCAGTGAAAATGTTGATCCAGTATGCAGATGCTGTGAAAAAAGCAAATTCCATATTAAGAATAATTAGAAGTTTTTAAAAACCCTTCCATTGCCCTTACAGAAACCTATGGTGCAACCACACTTAGAATACTGAGTACATGTCTGGTCATCACATCTAAAAATGATTTGTTCAGCTGGAAAAAGCACAGAAAAGGACAATAAGTAGACTTATGCTATAGCCCTTAGTTAGCTTCTAGAGAACCATAGGATGTTTCAGATCCCCAGATGCCTGACACTCAGATCCCCCTTCTCCACCCCCTTCATCTGGCTTCTCCCAGACTGGCTTCTCCAAGACTTCTCCAAGACTCCAAGATTGGCTTCTCCAAGACCTCAGAGAAGAGGCAAAGAGACTATTCTGGGGGAGATGAGGATAATGGGGCCTGACAACACTCCAGCCTCTTTTATCCCCCACCTCACTGCATCCAAAGTGCTGCTTCAGGATGGGAGGAGTCTGCAGGTCATGCACATTCAGACTGTGCCCTAAAAGAGTGAGAGGCTGAAGTAACTTCCTTGTGAGGAAAAAGTTACATCTGGGTTGTTTACCTGAAAAGACAAGAGAAGAAAGACATAGCAGTGTACAAAATTATGCATAGTATGAACAGAGTGGATTTAGAAACTTTTCTCTCTCTCTCATGAACCTTCATGCTTCTTATGAAGCAAACTGTTGAGAGTTCTGGAAGAGGTGAAAGGAAGTGCTTCTTCACACAGCACATAGCTAAAATTATGAAATTCACTACCATAAGATATTAGTGATGACTGCCAATCTGGATGGCTTTAAAAGGAGTTACACAAATTCTTGGTGGATAAGACTACCAACAATTTAGTTCTTATGTTTAAATACTGCTTTCAGTATCAGAACAGTATCCCTATCTACACCAATTGCTGGGGAGCATGAAGGGCACGGTAGGATTACTCTCCTGTCCTACTTGTGGGTTTCCCATTGGCCAACTGGTTGACCAGTAGTTGAACAGAATGTTGTACTGGATAGACATTTGGTCTGATCCAGCATAGTTCCTTTCCATCTCTTGTAGAGCACACACCAATATTCTGGTCTCTAAGTTATGAAGACAAGAAAATGATGCTGCCAGTTTCAAAGCTGAGAGGAAAAAATCACACAGCCTTTTACTGTGATGGAGATGGTGAAAAGTGTTTCTGGCAATCAGCCCCATCCATCCAGAATTTCATTTTCTCATGCCCTTTCAACTGCTTCCTCCTAAATCCCCACTCTCTCACTGCACTATCTTCTCCGATCTGGGGCCCTGCAGATGTGTTGCACTACAACTCCCATAATTATAGTCCAACACATCTGTAAGTCACTAAGTCAATGAAGCTACACTACAGCTTCTCGGGCAAGAGGTGTTTGTTTCATAGCAGTATGTGTGTGCATAACTGGAAGGGTAGGATTGGCGACATCCAACAGATGTTACCAGAACATTAAGCCAAGCTTGGCTCATGTTTAGATTTTACTAATCTCAAAGGCAACATGCTGTCAATTTAGAAAGTAGAAAATAAGCATTAGTAGAAATAGAAAATAGACATTATTTTTATTGTCTTCACTACCTGCAATGCTTTTAGCTTTGGGGCCAGTAATACAATCATAATCTTTATAATATTTGAAATGTCAAGAAGTCTCAGTATTAGTTGCAGCAATGGATAACTGAACATGAAAAGAGTAACAGTGCAATTCTATAGCCCCTGGCATCATCTAGGAAGATGTAGGATTATTTGGAATCTCTGAAATCCTGCAACCTTGGAGCTGGAACTCCAAAAGCCAAGCCCCTGCCCAGTGCCCCTTTCAGGTGGCACAGAAAGAATTATACCAGTTTCTCCCACAGGATACAACTGGGCCTTGGAGAGGGGAGACATGGCAGGAATGGGAAGAAACTGGAGCTGCAAAATCCTACCAATTCCTATTGGTGTCCCAGCCTCCTTCCATCTCTCTCCCCAGTGCATTATCAGTAGTCTAGATAAAATACCTGGTGCAATGCTTTTGTTCTATACATAGGATGCACATAAGCCTCCAAGTCTGGAGGCTCACATGCATTGAAGGCACAGGATGTAGGACTGTGCTCTAACCTACCAATTTTTTGATGCAAGATCTATCTGCATAGGGCAAGTGAAAACACAGGTTAGCAAAACCAAGGGGTTTAATTTTTAGTGTGTTTTACTATATTCAAACTGAAGAATTTCCAGGGGAGCAAAAATCCTGCATCTGGACTTTATGAAGGTAAGTTCCACCTGTGCATTAACCTAACTTCTTCTTACCACTTGTTCAATTGCAGCCAATCAACAGATTTCTTGAAAAATGTTTCTCTTCTTAACTGATAAAATTATATGGAACTTTCTATAGGTCCCCATCAACTATGTCTTTTAAAGGTCTTTTTAGAACAAGATCAAGCAAAACTAAAAAGGAAATTTGTCTTATTTCCACACAACCTCATGGGGGGGGACCCCAAATCCCTCTTCTTCATCAGCTTTCTAGACCTCAAATCTTTCTGTAGTCACCCCACTATCATATCCACCAGCAAGTGACAAACTCTGTGGTTTAAACTCCTCTGGCCTTTCAGGTAGCAATCATCCTTTGAGAGTTCAGTCAAGGGATACCTGTGAAGCAGGACAGACTCTCAGGCTTGTCCGGGAATGCTTGGACCATCTTAAACTATGTTTTCACCTGGAATTGAACTGGCCTGAGGTAGGGGTGAGGGGAGCGCACATGTCTCCTCACCTCCCCTTAATAAGTTACCAAAGGCGCAAGTTTAGACAGGGGATAAAAGGCCTACAACTCCCAGCAGACCCCTGCTGGGAGATGTAGGCCTTTTTTCCCGTCTAAGCTTGCCCAGGATTGTGCCCTAACTGTAGTAAGGAAGAAACCGTTGGCCTAACCTCGCGCCGGTTCTTGACAGTTGGGGCTGCTCCCGCCGGACCGTTGGTCGTTGAAGCGGACCTCGAGCTGCTCCCCACCCCACCCGCGGCCACTAGGCTGATCCTCACGGCACGAGGGGAGAAAGCCGGAGAAGGAAAAACGAGGGCAAAGGGGAATCCCACTCACTCTCTGCCTCTGTGGCGCGCGCGGCGTGTCTTTTGTGTTTGTACACACAGAGGCGGCCGCGGGAAGCCGCGAGTAGGCAGGGAGGAAGGGGGATGGGCGTGGCCTCCCCTTCCCTCCATTGTGCGCCATTGGCGGGTGGGCCAGGAGGGGGCGCGGCCTGGGCGGGCACGGGGCGTGGCCGAGCGGCGGAGACGGCCCTCACGAGTCAGCCATCTTTCAATTGTGCTCTCAGCCGCCGTCGTCCGCAGCCGCTTTAGCGCCTCCTCGCTCTTCCTTGCCTGCTCGGCAGCCGCGCTCAGTCTCAGCGGACGGGGGGTAAGTCGCCCGCTCGCCTGCTAGGAGCCCCCGCGACCCCCAGTCCGGCTGGGGACTCCTCCGGGTTACCCTCTCACCTCTCTGCCAAACTTCTGGGGGGCCAGGAAGGGCTGTTGGGGGGCAGGAGCGTCCCCTTTTCTCTCTCCGCTTTTCCGAGTGCGGCTTGGACTGCTCCTTTCCTTGGCTCCCCCAACCCCACTTTGCTCGGCCGTGGACCCCCTCTACTGCCTTCGCCCCCACCCCAAACCCTCACTGTCCTCCTCCCCAGCCCCTCGCCGATCAGTTCGGCCCCTCGTCGCCCTGGATCGGAGCTGGAAAGCGGCTGCAAACTGGAGCCAGTAGCCAGCCCAGGGAAACTCCTTGCCTGCCTTCCCCTGTTCCCCACAGTTGTTGCTCAGCTTCACCATCTTGTCTCTTTTCTCTGGTCACCGACCATATTTTCCCCCGATTGCATAAAAACAATAAAAAGGCAAGGAATGTGTTTAGGAAAGCATCGGAACCCTATGAGATTTGGGGTGATTCCGAGTCCAAACTTTTCCTCTCTCCCGTGGTCCGTCGGACCCCGCATAGTTTGAAGCTTCGGGGGGATAGATAGGGTTTTCAGGTATTGTTGTGTTGCTATTTTATTTCCCCCCTCCGTCTCTCTCGCTCTTTCTCCCTGCAAAGGGACCAGGGCTGCATTTCGTGATTGTTTCCATTTTGTTGGGGATGAGTTTGCCAGCGAGAGGCGCTTGGGAGCGAGGCAGCCTTAGGACTGGCGTTTGTATAGGCGGGACTCCCGCAACACCGAAATAACCAGCCCCCCAAAAAGTTGGTTGCTTTCTTGCCCTTAAAATCTGACTTTCTCCCCCACCTTTTGTGGCATAAAGCCGGACTTAGGTACGGCTTCCATTTGTTTGCGTTTGCCCGCGCGGCTGAGCTTCGGGGGAAACGAGGGCTTCTTTGCAGGAGAGCACTTTAAGGCTTTTAGTCCGTGCTTCCCCCCTATTTTTCTTTCTGTTTTCAAACGGATTTTGTGTGTGTGTGTTGCTTTTTGCTCAATGCTAGCTATAAATCAGTGGCACGTCCCCCGGCGTTTTCAGCAATTATTGGCACTTTTTTTGTAGCCCACGGGAGGGAGGGAGGTGGGGATAAGAGCTGTTCCTTGTGTGTCGTGTCGGAATCGCCCTCTAATCTTTGCTGCATCGTTCCGATTTTAAGCCCTGGGCTGCCTTTAAATCTTTGGCATTTATTTTGCTCCGAAATAAATTAGGACGGCGGTTTCTCCGACCATTTTGCCATCCTATTCAGTGCTAGGAAGGGAAGGATTTTTTTCTGTTGCAAGCTCAAGTGTGCTCGCACACGAAGTCTGTTCTTTGGCTTGATACTGGCGGTGTGGATCTGTAACCTTGTAATTGGTTTTAAGGTTTCCGTGGTTCTTGTCATCCGAGGTGTCTTTTTTGGAAAGGCAATTAAAAACCCATAAACCTGCATTTTTGGGAAAGGTTTCCCCCCTCCCCTACCGGCTGCCTTGCTACTGTATAGTGATCGCGTGGGTGATATGTTGCCGATAGGTGTAAGGAAGAGAACTTCGCGGGAACATGGCTCGTACTAAGCAAACTGCCCGTAAGTCCACCGGTGGGAAGGCGCCCAGGAAGCAACTCGCGACAAAAGCCGCTCGCAAGAGCGCGCCCTCTACTGGTGGGGTCAAGAAACCTCATCGCTACAGGTACAGAAATGACCGGAAGGAAAATGTTGAAATGTAATAGGCCCTCAATGACGCGGAAATGTTGATCTAGCCACAACTAATTGCTTTGAGAAAACGTCAACGCTTTTTTTTTTCTTTTGCATCCACTCGAGATTATTTTGGCAACCTTTTCTTTCTTTACCTGACTTCGAACAAATTTATATCTTAAACTGAACATTTTAAAAACAGCTGTAGAATTCCCTATAATTGCAATTAATGCATTTTATTGGTAATATCAAGTTGAAAATAAAATATTGAAATATCAATCTTAAATTTAAAATAAATGCTCTTTCATCAAGTATAGGATGCACTAATAAAGTCTGCTGAATAATCAAGGTATCATAGCACACCTCGACTATTCGTCTAAAACTTGCCAATCCTGATCATTTTTCCTTTATTTAAATTAGTTTAGCTCCTCCGCTGTTACTGTAAAACTGATATAATGTGTACAGTGTACCATTAGAGGGCAGCAGCTGCCACCAGATAAGCAGGTAAATAACAGGTTTTGCACTTTTTAAGAACAAAATTTGTAGATGTGTATGTATATTAAAAATTATATGTTGTAATTGCTATAACGTGACCATTTTTCTGTTCATTCTCTTTTACCATACCTGCTCTTAAAAAGGAAAGAAATCAAAATGGGTATAAGAAAACTATAATTGGACTCTCCCACTATCTCCTAACATTCTGTTTCGGACTGTCTTTTTAAAAATTCACATCTGTTTGTGTTCTTACAGTAGGCTTACCTGATTTATCAGCATTGTCTTGCATAGAGTACATATATGTTAATGTCTCTTACATTTCAGACATTCAGTTTTTCTTTGGAATTTCATATGCTCCGTTTTTCAGGAGAAAGATAAAAGGCTTATTGACCTTGTTTCTTTGGTGTCTTTTTTTCCATTCAAAGGCCAGGTACTGTGGCTCTTCGTGAAATCAGGCGTTACCAGAAGTCAACTGAACTTCTGATCCGCAAACTTCCTTTTCAGCGCCTGGTGCGTGAAATTGCTCAGGACTTCAAAACAGATCTGCGTTTCCAGAGCGCAGCTATTGGTGCTTTGCAGGTAAATGTCATATTGCTGTTTAAACTGCCCTTCCAAAAGGTGAGAGATCCCCTTCATTGATCTAATGATAGATGTGTTTCAGATAGTTAGTCTGAAAGATCAGAAATACATTCTCTTTCCAATGTACATCAATGTTTTCTACTCAAACTTCTCTATAAGCAATTGTTATGTAAATAACTACTTTGTGTTCTCTAGTAGGGTAATGCATGCACTTGCTTCTAAATATATTTTCCTATGATTCGCTTAAAGATTAGATATAAAAATTGAAGTAGCTACTGTTTTATGCAGGACATAGGTATAGTTTTACCAACACAAATGATACTCAGAGCCCTTTCTAGAGAGCAGCCATTGACAGTACTGTGCTGTTGGTACGTGAGGGAGTATGTGATTGGATGCTTCCATATGCTGTCATGTTATTATTGGTTGAGCTGTTTCTATGGTCAGTCAGGACTTCATGTGATTGGTAGGTTCTTATCCATGTGTTGTAGGTGAGCAGATAACTGCTAGTGTTTAATCTTCCCAAAGTAATTTGCTTTCTTGAGTAAAATCTTGGATGTTGAAATTGGAATGTTGGGATCCCCTAACACAACTGAAAGCAAAATTGTTATTTTTTTCTCTGTATTCTCTTAATGTGCATTCTTTGGTTTTAAACATGAAGATCTAGAAAATATTTTTAAGCTACAAAGTAGGGAGTGGTATTTGTACTGAATTTTTGATATGTTATGCAGTTTGAGAAAGCTTAATACTATCTTGACTTCATTAAACTCCCAGTGACTACTCATGATGTACTGTTCCTCTTTCCCCACATACATCAGTAGGAAGTGTGTGTAAAACTTGGCATATGTCCTTTATGGTTGAGGTGGAGGGATGCCTCGGTTCTCTGTGCAATACATGATTTTTGAACCCCTTAGTAAGACAGAATATTGGATTGTGTGGATCCAGGAAGGAAATTCGTACATTCTTGTGAAATGCAAGACTTCGTTTACTTGAACTAGGATTGTTGTGAAGTAGTGCTACATAAATATAAAGGAGGCATTTGTGTTTTAGAAATGCTCTTTACGATCTCTTTCCTGATTGTTACCATGAGTTGTATGTGTAAAGAAATGTATGTGAGCAATTCTAATGTGTTGTCCAAAGAAGCAAATTAAATTATATTTCCTACATGACAAGCCTGTTTATAAGAGTGATTAATGAGACCATGTCTAGGTCACCATTAGAAAGCAGCCCTTAGTTTTCTGTACTTGGGGAAAAGTGTTCCCTACATTACAGGCTTATAAGATCATCTACATAGCAGTCCCAAATAGAATTGATGTATCTATCTGGGGACTTGTATAAACCCCTGAATTCATGAGCATGCTCTGCCGGTTCTGTATGACATAGTACTGCTACTTCTTGTCCTAAAGGTACAAAAGGAAGTGCATATTGCATGACAATTTTTTACAAATCTCATCACTATAAAAATAATATAAGCTTAATGCAACAAAAAGTGTGCATGTGGAAAACACCATATATAACTCTACAGGATATATGCAGAGTTTCAACCAGAGCAGTTATGGAAACATTCAGCAAAGTCTAGAGCAGCCTGCAGAATTAGATCTACCAAAGATAAATGCAGCCCAGCAGTTCATCATAGGCTGTTGGGTACCTGTGAAATCCTCGCTCCTACCTTTAAGTCCCAGGCAGATGGCTAAAGAATAAGACACTGATTGAGCCCCTGGTGGGCTGCCATATATGGCTAATAGTCTGCACTTTGCTTGATGGGTCAAATCTCCAATAACCAAGATGCTGTGAAGTGGCTCTCTACCATCAAATGATTTGTCTCAGCAGGCAGGATGGCTGAAATCAGAGTACAACATTATGGCCAGTTGCCAAAGGAACTGTTCCATTGTTAGGCACAATATGGTACGGTTGCTTCATAAAACCCATAATACACCTACCTACTATGGGTAGACATTGCCATCTCTTACATCTGTTCAACAGAAGTTCTCTAACATCTGTTTCTACTTCTGATCTGTGAAAGATGTGAT